GGGGGGGGGGGGGGGGGGGGGGGGGAGTTATTGGACTGTGAACGGGAAGCTAGACACTTCTTTGAAGAACATAATTTGAGAGCTGATAGCTAGTGCATCCGTACCATGTTGTTTATCGGTAATTGGTGACAGGGTGAGGTATGTGCAGGTTTTTTGCGTATTAACTTTTGAGTTGTTTCATTTTTCCCGATGTAATTTCAACCTAAATATTTTAGAAATACTTTGGCCCTTTCATCTTCCCGATTTTTTTCAACCTTTACATTTACCGAAATGTTTTTAGTCTTTTCTTTCCTCGGATTTTAATATTTTCATTTTTCGGTACCACTTTATTCCCTTCATTTTTAGGATTTTATTGATTTTATTCTGCCCACTTGCTCTCCTACTTTTTCATCCCCAGGAATAATTTCGGTTCCGTTATTTTCCAAAACGATTTCAATATCGTCTTTCATAGGAATTATTTCAAATTAGATTTTTCGCCCTTCTCTTTGTCAAATATAAGATCAGTCGCAGTATCTTCCGGTATGCTTTTGCGGCTTCCTATTTTTCTGTAAATCGGTGAGAGGCACTCTTTCACGATCAAGGAATTGCAACATTAAAGACTAGATGTTGTTCCGCAAGGTATCAGCGGCAGAGCGGTTGAGTTGGTTATCCCTAGAAGAGTCGAAAAGAACACCAGGGACGCTAGCAGACCATTACTACTAGTAAAATAGTTCAAGATATTGCCAGCCACCGGACTATGGGTTGCACTTAATGCAAGTTCCCATGTGGATCGAACAGATTTTTTTACTCTTTATTTGTTTACTCTCTTTTGTGCTTTTTGCAGCTGGTGTGACCGAGGACCATGAGTCGTTTGTTGGCATTTTTTTTGTGAAAGATGAAAACAACAAGGATGTAAATCTGACGCAAGTGATACTTGGTGAAAGACCAGCACCAAAATTACCGCCACCGAGAGGTCTGTTTTGCTGGGACTTGCAGCTAGTTTTCACGCGTTTGTGCGGTGCAGCGCTGTAGCGTGTTTGTTTATGTGTGTCTGGGTCCGGGTATTTCAACTGGGCAATTAGGCATAGTTAAATGTTGAGCTGTTCATAATGTTAACAATTTCTCTTTTGAAGCAGTCACAATCGATAGTTTTATGGATCGAGAAGACAGAGAATTCAGCAGCGGCCGAATGCAGACTTCAGGTACTGCTTTGGATTGGTAATATTGCTAATATGATTATAACTTTATAAAAAAATTCCACGTGTTTTCAAATTTGCTCAAAAACGACACATGGTGCATCCCAGTTGCATGAAAAACTCCACACTGGGAGTCCGGAAGCTATGGTGGTGACGTGGAGAAACGTATGTTTGTATAAGGAATTGTAAAGCGAGAGAGTGGAAGTTTAGAAAGTTCCAGTATTTGGGCGAGGGAGGAGAGGTGAGGACTAGAAACTGGTAATTTTTGAAAATCATAATTTTTCTCGTGCTTGCTTTTTTTTACTCACGAAATTAGTCACACATGGGTGCCGAATTCCTAACTCGTCGACTGATTCGGAATCGCACTGAAAAGCAACCAGAATAAATCGTACTTGATCTGGGGAGCGATAAGTTTCAAGGACAGATGAGGACTAGAAAAATGCGATGCACATGCTCTACTAACGGAGTGTATGCAACCTAGGATCGAAATGCTTGGCAGTAACTGCTCCCCTTATCTGATGACATCCCAGCACCGTTAGTAGCATGAGTCCACATGCTTTTTGTCTAGGAGGTTTTGCTCTTGGTGTGGAAGCAGTCGATGAATAAGCATCACAATAATTTGCTTTTGTGCTGGTCCGAAAAGGTTTTTCTGCCGGTACGGAGTATAAGTGGGAAAGTTATTAAAGTAAATATACTTTGAATAGGATTGCTTCCGTGACACACGGGTAGTCTATGGCTGTGGTTCTCAGACTGAGAGTTCTGTATCTTCCTGAAGAACAGCAAGCCGATTGTAGCGTCCAGGTTGACTCTGGAAACCGAAGTGGCGAAGGCGCGATTGAATACAAAAAGCAAGAACAGTATGAGAAAAGAAGGCAAGAATGAGATAAGACGTTTCGGTCTTTTAAGTCATATGCGTCTTAACTCATCACTGCGACAGGACCTCGTCAGTATGACGGTCACAATGTTTAATGAAAAAGGAATAGGAAGACGCAAGGAAAGGAAGTGATAATTCAAAATCGGCTGTTTCCTGGGACTGCTTGTTGACGGGCGGTAATATGATCTGTGAAAAGGGGAACAGTTACGGTTATAGCCTCAAATGCATTTTGATCCGAGGTAGAATTCTCGTGTTTGGGTTCATAGTGGTGCAAACTTAATACTGCATGGATCTGGCACTCCTTAATGCACTTTTTTTTTTTTTTTTTGAATGCACTGGATGCACAGTAAATGCCGGTCGCGCAAATACATGTAGTGCACTGCACCATGATATTTTTCGTAGCCCATGAGCCAAGTTTTCATTTTTTTCATTCTAGTATATTCATGGGTCTGTGCTTTATCCTTTCATTTCTGGCTTTCTCTTTCTTGAATCCTTTAACTTCATTATATGGTGCCCGAGAGCTTTTAATTTTTTTCTTGTCTGTGGACGAAGAAATGCCCAAGTCATAGAATCTTTGATTCCTTTTTCAAGTTTTTCCTTCACAAAGTCTCCACCTTCTCAGAAGTCTTGAATTTTTAAAAGATGGAAGTGTTTAAAAGCGGCTCGGTAGCAACAACATTTGCCACCTACAAGCATACACTGGTAGGAGCGCATCGTTGGTTTCTCTGTACGAGGGTTACTCGAAACATAGCTGTATTATGTTGTGAATTGGAGGCTCATATAATCGTAGAACAGATCATTTTAGAGCAATAAATGGGGCACACTTTCATTCTAAGATTATTTGGGGCTTTTTGGTTCGAGTCTTCTGGTGCATAATCCTTCCATCTGCAATTCGTTACATTCACAAAAGAAGCCGAAGTGATTTAGCATGCCAAAAAATTAAGCTGTTTACAGCTTATTCCTCAAAGCGATCTTGTAAAGGGAGGATTCTGGCAGCATTGCTAGAAAGGTTTTTGCTGCTGTTAGCAAGATGCTATCATTTTGGTCACATCTAATGGGGGAAATTTTGTCTTTTGAAAATTTTAGAAAGTTTTAGGATTTGAATTGCTTTCTAAGGAAAAAGCACATGCTCACAGAGTCTTCTAAATTTGCAGATGCATACTGCTGGGCTTACAGTAACTGCCCAAATGAAAGAAGCGACAGTTGTTTTCGAAGCTCTTTTCGAAAGCACTTCGGTATCATTTTTTTGGTATTACAAGAATATTTTTAAATGCGAAAAAACATGACTTGCATATATATATAGCAGCCGCATTGTGAGAGATTTATATCCGTCCCTTCGTGCGCGTCGTTGTTGCCAGTGCTTGCCTTGATTTTGAGAACTTTCTTAAATTAAGCAGTCCTTGTTTCGGTTGAATAATCGAGTGATCACCTGCCCTTGACGCCTTTCATTGTACCTAACAGTAACAGCCAGCCCTCCTCAAAGTACTGTTCATAAAAGCTGTTTGATGAATATTCTCCTTTTAATGCCAAAAATGACCTTTTAATGCCAAAAA